AAATCATCAAAGGCAAGAGTGCTCTCTTGTGGTTGCATTTCAGGTCAGATCAAGAATGTATACGTGCAAACGTATACAGGAAGGAGGAAAACTGCTCACTTCACCTGAAGAGAGGTTTTTTTCAAGAAATGTGAGTTTCACAAGTTGAAAGTTGCGCACTTTCAAAAATCTGCAGCCTTTTGCCTGTTTCTCTTCATTGCAGAGATGTTCTAGTCATTGCTATGAACACCTGCCTTGAGAAACCAAATGCAACCGTTACGCTCTGATTGCTCCAGACAGCAGTGCAGATATTACTAGCTGTTTGCACACACGCTGGCTTACCAGATGGACCCTGCTCTAATTGGGGAGCAGAAAATTCCTCTTGGCTGTGCCAGACCTGTGCTGGATCTTTCAATTTGCTCGCCAAAGAGAAGTAGAAGACAAGGATTTTTGCCAGTGTAAGGGCGTAATGCCCCAACCTGTGTTTCTAAGATATCCTGTTGTCTTAGGATCATCTTCTTCAGCAAATGGAGTGTATCTGAAGGGTTCCACAGTTACAAAATCTTTGCAAAAACACATTTTCAGTGAAATAAATATTTGATTCTCCCACCACCAGTTTGGTGAATTGAACTTTTGGTCTGGGTAACCTGTGGGAAGAACGTGAAAAGGTAGCGGCACGTAGACTCTATTAAAACTGTTCTTTTGCTCAAAGCGAAAGTTTCCGCCCTGTTCAGTGTTTCACGCTAAACCGTCTCAGAGTGGTGAGTAACTGAAACAACATCCTCCACTCCGAGAAACACATCTTTGTCTGTGCTGAGTCAGAAACCAGCAGCAGTGACATCAGCCTGCATTTTCAGACCAGCTTTTGTATCTTTGCTGGCCTGTTCTGCAGCTCCAAAAAGCAAAGGTACAAGAACAACCTAGATTTTAATCTTCAAAGTATGACAAACATACACAGAGACGGTTGCAGAAAGACATACGTGAGAACAATTCTGGGCTCTGACTTATACCAGGGGTGGGATGAGCTCCAAAAGGGCTCAGAAGCCAGGGCAAGTATCCGTCTACTTTCCCCCCCTTCACTGACATGACCTAGCAGAGCTGTTTTTTTCAAACAGGTTTTGTAGTATTACCTGAAAATCAGCTACTATGTTTCATGAGGGGCCGAGATCTTTTTCACAGAATTACAGAATCACAGAATGGTTGAGGTTGGAAGGGACTTCTAGAGATCACCTAGTCCAACCCCCCTGCTCCAGCAGGGACACCAAGAGCACGTGGCACAGGGTGGCATCCAGGTGGGTTTGGAAGATCTCCAGAGAAGGAGACTCCACAACCTCCCTGGGCAGCCTGTTCCAGGGCTCTGTCACCCTCAAAGGAAAAAAAGGTCTTGCTCATATGGAGATGGGGAACTGCCTGTGTTTTAATTTATACCCATTACCCCTTTTTCTGTCACTGGTCACCACCGAGAAGAGTCTGGCCCCATTTTCTTTGCATTCTCGCCTCAGGTATTTGTACATGTTGATCAGATCCCCTCTCAATCTTCTCTTCTCCAGGCTAAACTGGCCCAGCTTGCTTAGTCTTTCCTCATACAATAGATGCTCCAGTCCCTTAATTGTCTTCGTGGTTCTCCCCTGGACCCTCTCTAGAAGCTCCACGTCCCTCTTGTACTGGGAGCCCAGAGCTGCACCCAATACTCCAGGTGCGGCCTCACCAGAGCCGAGCAGAGGGCAGGATCACCTCCCACAGCCTACAGGCAATGCTCCTGCTGATGCAGGCCAGGATCCCATGGGCCTTCTTGGCCACGAGGGCGCATTGCTGACTCATGGGTAGCTTCTTGTCCGCCACGACTCACAAATCCCTCACCACAGAGCTGCTTTCCAGCAGGTCAACCCCTAATCTGTCCTGGTGCCTCGGTTATTCCTCCCCAGGTGCAGGACCCTGCACTTGTCCTTGTTGAACCTCAAGAGGTTCCTCTCTGCCCAACTCTCCATCCCGTCTAGGTCTCTCTGCATGGCAGCACAGACCTTGGGAGTGTTGGCCACTTCTCCCAGTTTGGTATTGCCCACAAACTGGCTCAAGGTGCACTCTGTGTCCTCATTCAAGTCACTGATGAGCAAGTTGAACAGCACTGGGCCTAGTACCGGCCCCTGCGGGACACCACTGGCCACAGGCCTTTCTAATTCACAACCAAACGTCTTTCTAAAATATGTGCCATCACCTAGATGGAACACAGGGATGTGAAGGAGGAATTACAGGAGAAGGCTCCATAGTATGTATAATTCACTTCAAATGATCAAGAGATTCCACTTGCCACCAAGAATCCACGAAAACCACTGAGTAGAATGGGCTTCTCAGCATGACTTGTTCTCTTTTGCCAGCTCTAACCTTTGTCAGAAAGGTCTCTAATAAAAATGCTTTCAGAAATGATTTGTTAGAAGGGAATAGCCCATTCACTGAGGTAGACCAAGATACAAGTCTTTTCAAAGTAAAGAGGATGTTGAAATACATGGAAATGCTTGAAGTAGGAAAATGCTTTTTGATTCTATCATTACTCAGCTTGAAAGGTTGTTTTACTATTATAAGCAGCACAGGCAAAGATCTTTCCCAGTTTGTATGATTTTTGCAGTGACAGTGTTCCTGTAAGGAGATGGAAGCATTCCTCCTGGGAGTCTCAGATATCAGAAGTTTCCAAAGCTGTGTATGACTTTGCCAAAAGTCTCGCCCTGCTCAAAAGGCAGGGTTATGTTTCAGTTTGGTAACAAAAATACTGCTCTTTGCCACCAAATCTCTTTTCTGTTTACTGTAAATGCAGGTCACCCGAGCTTTCCAGAGCATCACGATTCCACCTGCACCAAACAGGCACCTGCTTTTCCTGCATATAGAATCATAGAATGGTTAAGGTTGGAAGGGACCTCTAGGGGTCATCTAGTCCAACCCCCCTGCACACACAGGGTCACCTAGAGCACGTGGCACAGGGTGGCATCCAAGCGGGTTTTGAAGATCTCCAGAGAAGGAGACTCCACAACCTCTCTGGGCAGCCAGTTCCAGTGCTCTGTCACCCTCACTGTTAAAAAAAATTTCCTAAGTTCCTGTGGAACTTTTGGTGTTTCAGTTTGTGGCCATTACCTCTAGTTCCGTCGCTGGCCACCAGTGAAAAGAGGCCAGCACCATCCTCTTCACTGCCTCCCTTGAGGTACTTATAGACACTGATCAGATCCCCTCTCAGCCTTCTCTTCTCCAGGCTGAACAGGCCCAGCTCCCTCAGCCTCTCCTCATAGGGCAGATGTTCCAGGCCCCTGATCATCCTTGTAGCCCTGCGCTGGACTCTCTCCAGCAGCTCCACATCCCTCTTGTACTGTGGAGCCCAGAACTGGACACAATACTCCAGATGCGGCCTCACCAGGGCTGAGTAGAGGGGCAGGATCACCTCCCTCGACCTGCTGGAGATGCTCTTCTTAATGCAGCCCAGGATCCCATTGGCCTTCTTGGCCACGAGGGCACACTGCTGCCTCATGATCAACTTGTCATCCACCATGACACCCAGGTCTTTCCCCGCAGAGCTGCTCTCCACAAGGTCGGTCCCCAGCCTGTACTGGTGCCTGGGGTTATTCCTCCCCAGGTGCAGGACCTTGCACTTGGCCTTGTTGAATTGCATGAGGTTTTTCACCGCCCAGTTGTCCAGTCTGTCCAGGTCCCTCTGGATGGCAGCACAGCCCTCTGGGGTATCGGCTACTCCTCCCAGTTTCGTGTCATCAGCAAACTTGCTGAGGGAGCACTCTGTGCCTTCATCCAGGTCATTGAGGAATAAATTGAACAGGACTGGACCAAGGACTGACCCCTGGGGGACCCCGCTAGCTACAGCCCTCCAACTAGACTCTGC